TACTTGTATTGGATTGTTCAGAACAATATTTAAATTCATATGGTTCTTATTTTTACGATTTTGATTATGAAATACCTTGTATTAACTTTTTATTTATCTAGACTCATAATATTTAGTTTAAGACTTTCTAGGTTTAGCACAAAATCCTTAGTAAAGAAAGAATTTAATTATGAATTTATTATAATATGCATAATATATATATTAATAAATTTTATATTGGCATTCACTTTGTTAAAGAATTTTGGAGGCCTTCAGTATGAGCTTAAGTTAAATTTTAAAGGATTCATTACCATCACATTTTATATACTCTATGGACCAGAATTTTCTTCAGATGGTTTATTTATTTATACAGTTGAAAAAAATGAGCCAGTTTCTAAATCAACCAAAAGTTATAATAATTTATATTCTAATGGAGAAAAATACAGGAGGGTAATGAAAGTATAAATTATAATAAAAATACATTAACAATAAGTTAGGAATGCTTCGGACCAAATAAAAGCTTATTGTGGATTTAAAAATTATTATGTAGCTGTTCATAAATGTTAACCTTATTGTTTATAATGCTTAAATGAAACTAATGGAGTAGCGATTATGGTGCAAATGTTGTTAAATTTTCATAAGAAGAGTGTTTGATTAACTAATATTATGATAATGATTCTTATAGATGTTTGGATTGTCCATTATCTTGTTTAACTTGCACATCTAAAATAGATTGTTCAACATGCTAATCTACTTTCGGAGATTATCTTGTAGTCGGATAAGAATAATATTAAGGTGGGAATCAAGTTGATACAAATGGATGCCAAAAATTGTAAATATTTTTGTAGAATTGGATGGTCTTCTTGTAAATATGCTACATACACTTGTTTAAGATGAGAATTACCTGGGTAAGTTCCAGAGAATTACTATTTCAAAAAATTACAAGGAGATAAATTAGTTGTAGTGGATCCATATGGATTCTATAAAGAGGAATGTGATGATGGAAATAGTTTTAAGGAAAATACATTTCTTTTCATAAATACATTCTTTTACATCATTATTCAATTTTTTAATTAATTTTACTTAAAGATACTATCTTCAAATTCAAACCTTGTGATTATCATTCGATAGAGAGGTAAGTTTATGAAATAAAAATCAATAAATATCTATAACACCTATTGTTTCTCATTCATTTTTGAAACTTCAAAATATCAATTATTTTTAGGTTTAAATCAAATCTGTTTTTTTCTGATTCTTTTTCATAGGCACACTGATAAAACAATGTAATACTATATATTTGAGATAATTTGTAATTTATCCCTATAAATATTCACCGCTTTTCCAAACCATTAACTACTATTATCAGTTGTCTCACTTATTCTAGGAGATAATTATTTTTTCTTTTGATCTAAACTAAATGTTGATAGAGCAGAAAAATTAATTTGATTGTAAACTTTCATCAGCAATTTAATTGGAATATATCTATAAATTGCTATTTTTTTCTTCTGAACAAACAGTAATTAAAATAATAAGTAATCAAATTTTTGTTGCAAAATTTGGAATCAAAAATACCTATAAAAATCTTTATGAAACTTAATTGACTTTTATTTCTAGACAATTTTGGAGTAAAAAAATTAAAAAAAACTAATAAAGAAAAAATACCTTAAATTCTATAAATCAAAAGGAGCAATTTAAGACTTAGCCAAAAGAATCTATAATATTAAATTTTAGTTAGGTTAAATATGGAATTATTGGAAGAAATAACAGATAAGACTTAATAAATGCATTAATCATAACTAGTAACTCAATCGAAATTTGAGTTTGATTCATTAAAAGTTAAGTTACAACCTTAATAAAAAATAATCTCTTTATAACAATTATAGTAGAGATTTTTGATATAATATATTAAAAATTAATTAAAGAAGGAATTGATATAGAATTCTGAATGAGTATCTCATTATAGTAGATTTAAGCATATGAACAGATATCATGCTAAAAGATATTTTTCTCTAGAATAAACTGTATAATGATTACTATTAAAGCAAGAATTCAAATAAATGAAAAGTTAAGGAATTTTCAATTTCAACCCATGTCATCAATGAACTTAGTTGAAAAACACAAGTTGATTACCACAATACTTGAAAAACTCGAATAGAATATTCTTAGATTGTATAGCTCCATTTTCATCATAGTTCTATTAATTACTTATGCTTTGAACATCGTAATCATTTTTCTCTTCTAAAACTCCATAAATATATGAAGTAAGCAGAATAAATGGATGGGATTTATAAAAAACTTAACAATGTAGAACCAAGTTGTTTTATGAAAAGTATAACACATCAAAATGTTGTTTCTTTGATAGCATTTTCTTCAATAATAAAATTCTAATCTCTATAATTCTTACTATTTTTAATTCAGGTAGTTGTCTATTAATCTAGTAATTTACTAAAAGAGAAAATCTTCTTCGACATCTTCCTAGAGAATATATGTAATGTTAGCTTAATAGATTTTAGATAATGTCGAAAAATTTCAAAAATGATAATAATAAATTCTCATTAACCATAATTATTCCAGAATGATTCTTAAAAATGTGATAATGCTTCAAAATTTTTGTTTTATTAAATATTGAAAGTTAATAGAACATTTGTATTTAATGTACTCAATTTAATTCAATTAAGTAAATCCTTATTTCTGGTAAATATTTGTTCTAAACTACTTTATATTCTACATGAAAATAAATAATTTTACTATTATATCAAATGAATTCTTTTATTTTTTCAGTTTCTAAGTAGAATTGATGAATTTAACAATTATTAAGGGTTAACAATTAGATAAATTTTACCAAAAAGGTATTATAAATAATGATAATGAAATTTTTTTTGTTTTCTTTTTATGCAAGCCAAAAAAGTTCAACTTCAATTGATAAAAAATT